TATGACAAATTATAGACGTTTTGATAGTTATCATTAGCCCTTTAGCTGACTTCGGACTTCACAGAGGGGAGGAACAGACAAAGTCTCAAAATGTGAAAAGGGGGGAACAGATGTAAAAGAGACAGACACAAGGGTAGAAAAAAGGTGAAGTGAGTACTGTTGAAGTGGTGGAATTTGACATGCAGTGCAATCATGGTAGTTTGAAGTGAGAAGTCAACTGCCGGTTTGTAGACTTTTTGCCGTATGAGTATACATTGCCCAGGGCGCATCACGTGGAGGTAAGCCTATCGTACACCCCGTTTCCAGTATCATCAGAGATGATTTTATGGAAATTCTTGGCAAATGTCAAGCATTGCCAAGGGTGTTGAGTGACGAAATGGTAATCTATTGCTCGATAAGGCAAAATGCAGATACCCATCTTTTCTTCCACAACGTATGTACAGCGCTTGTGGCTTGAAAGTATGTTGAGTCCTATTTTATAGTTAGTCTAACACAACACAATAGAATTAAATTGCCTCTTTAGGTAGCTGGGTTCAAATTGAATATGTAGTGATTGAGATTAATTGAAGTGTTAAATTAAATGTTTGCTACTTATAATATATCAGTGTTACCTGAAGGTCAAAATCGATAAAGTCCACTTGAAGTATTCCATATATTAATGGTCTTTTTTGCAAATATTTATTATTATTATTATATCAAATGGCAGGCGTTTTGATTGACACTCAATGAGCAGTTGACCTCAAACTACCATGACCCCACGATGGGCAACATAATAAGAGGTAAATTCTAATTGGGTGAGATAATGCAATATAAGATGTCAATACAATTTTCTTTTTCTACAATTATTGCAGAGCTTCAATTCTTCAAATTCATACATTTTCTACAAGGATGCGGATTTATTTCTTGAAAAAAAAACACAATTAAGAGAATAAAGCTAAGAAAATGAATAAACTTTGAATTAGATAAAAACAATAGCAGAACAACAACGGTCGCATTTTTCACAAATCCACGCATTTCTTCGATGAATATCCGAATAAAAACTGGCAAGTGAAAGTAAACAAACGTTGGCATAGAACTACAGCATCCAGAAAGAAATCTTAAATAATTTCCATGAAAATTCAGATCGTTTCACTCGAGGTTTCAACCAACCATAGATACACCAAACATACCATGTTTTTTTAACCGAATTCATTGAAGATTTGTATCAGAAGGTGAGGTGCTTAATTCGCACAATGGCAACTACCTAAACACCGATATTTCGGATACAGCAGAGTTGATCAATAGAGTAGAAAACGAGTAGATTCAGAAAAGTTTCGGGGATTAAATTGTTTATTCGTTTGAAGGAAACAAAGTTCAAAACTATCACCCCCCCCCCCGCCTCCTCCTTTTTCCGAAGAACAAAGTTTGATGGGGTGGAGTTAAAAGCTGCAACTAACCTTTAGAGTTAGTGATGTTGATGATGATGATGATGGTAATTAAATCGGGGGTGAATAAAAATAGAGATAGTAGGAGCAAGAGAGGGAGAGAGAAAACTATTCTGCCCTGATTTTATACCTTCGGCCTGTCATAATAGGACGAGAGAGGGAATGAAAGCGCAAGGAGTTATAAAAACCGCGCGAATAACCGGGACTGGAGTGCGTTTAAAGAAATCTTAAAAATTCACCTGAATAGGCGGATTAGCTAATTCGATATACAGAGGTAACCAACCGGAGAATTAGACGACGTATTCCAAATCATTAGCAGTTAACATTAAGTAAAGTTAGTTAATTCTTATAAGGAAAACAATCTTGAACTTTTTCAACCATATTCAAGTGAGATTTTAAAATTACCACAGTGTAAATGAAATTTTAGTTCATTATAAGTAGCTAATCTCACCAACTTATTCTAACTTGGTCAATTTGAGCGTGCGTTTTACTCAGTAATCAGGTGTGAATGAAATGGAAATGAGAATAGCCAGCCACCACCACAACTTACATCTAATTGAGTTGAAAACAGAAGGCAACCGAACGCTCTAGCAAGTTATAAGAGTTTACTGTTAATGCGCCATCTTGGTTTTAAGTTTGAGTAGCCATTTTGCTATTATCTTACCCTGTAAATTTTTCATTAATGGGCTAATTCAATCCCAAATTAAACTTTGTCCAACCTACAAGAAGAGTGTAGGTGACACTTCACTTGGGTAAAGAGTCGGTCTTACGTGAAACTCCAATTCCACTACGTTGTATGTTGACCAAACCTAACTACAGACCGACAGACCACGCCCCAGCAACTGAGTGTGCCCTGATCTCATGACCTCTGACTTGACAGACGGTCGTGTTGACAACTGCGCCACTGACACAGCCGACAAGCAAATAAAAATTAACAGGACAGACATGAACACTCAAATAGCCAAAAGCTAGATCCCAAGCTTGGAGCATTAGGCCAAGACACAAAGAATTAACACGCGGAAATCCGAGGAGGATTCGTTTGCACTCAGCTTTCAGTTAATCTCTTCTTATTTGAATCAGTCAACTTTTCACCAGATTCAGACCCTTTCCTTTTGGTTTAAAGCTTTAGCAGAATTAATTTTTAAAAAAGCATAAAACCGAGTTCTAGTTGATCACATTGTTAAAAGTTACCGATATGAATAGAGTGATGGTTACGTACCGAACAAAGGCAGATAAGCCCAATGCCAGCGGTTCAGACGTATTTCCATTAGTACTCCCATCAAATCCAGAGGCAATAAGCCATTTGACAGTGGGTCGTGGATTTCCTGTCGCCTGGCAACGGACCTGTGCACCTGTATGATCGAAAAACCGCAACAAAGGAGGCAGATCAGGAGTTATTAGAGGTGGTGAAGGATGGGAAAAGTCAACTGGAGCTGAGAGCGAGCGTTTTCGCCTATCCAAGGCGAGATCTAGAACAAAAATTAGTTATGGTAAAAATCAAGACTTAAGTAAGACCAATAACCATCCTTTAACCAAGATGGAGTCAAAAATTTACCTCCTGGAGGCAAAAAAATACATAAAATTGATATTAGTAAGGAGGTGAGACCAATCAAAATCCCTCTTAACCAATCATAGAGCAAGAATCACTAAAACCAGCTAACGAGATTTCACCCAATAAAATGACCGAAACCGGCTGACCTAGAACACAGCTGTCGGTGGAAAAATCGATAGACATATATCAAACGATTGAGATTTACTCCAGACATGACTCGTAAACGAGAGGAAAAAGAACAATGAGACGACCTTTAAACCAGTCTAAACTTGCAGAATAGACGACCAAAGAGTTGGAAGTATCGACAGAGACAGATTATAATCAAATTGAACTAAGAGTATGTAACTTGCAAACTAGAATTAACCTATGACTGGCCATAGACAGACATAGTTCCTCAAAATGGGGGTAAATATAAGAAACATGGGTATTTCTAGCACGGTTTCGTTTTGAATCAGCATAAAACTTTTATCAGCTGTTCACTGATCCAAGAATGCAACAAAACTTTATTAAATAGAAGTTTATGAGAATAACATTTGACAACACACAAATATTCGGCCAGATTAAAGCTGGTCCAAAGTGAAAGCTCAACCTGAATATGCAACGCGCCAATTAAGAGGTTAAATTACTGACATTTTTGATAAATTACAGTGTATCCACACGGGGCTAGGTAACACCAAAAGTTTGCATGAGACGATATGAGGGTACATTCATTAAAAGCACAGTAACGCAGGCGTTGCTTCCATCATGGATGTGGCGAAATAAGTAATGTGCAAACCAAGCTAATTGAAATACGGTTAACGTCGTGATTTAGGAGAGTAAAGGGAAAGGGGATTTTCCTTCCATTTTTGGAGTTGCTAAGGTATGGTAAACCTGTAGCAGCAATAAACAAAACGCAGTCAGTCATGACAGAAGGGCATTAGTACACACAGTACTGATGTAGCATTGATTTGCAGACAAGAATCCTGCTGAGTCATAGATGCATTTAGGCGCCGCCATCCTACCCCTCTCTCTCCTTCTTGTCTTTGTGCTTGTGCATTCAGAGGCACAATTACTCATCGGAAGCGCATGATTGCTGATAGCGCACGTTTACTGGGGAGAGGCGGCCTCACATACACCTCAAAGTGCAAAATTTGAGAATAGCACCATCCACGGGCCTATCGAATTAGTGCACTCAAGGTTGTCGAATAAGGATTCGCAAAACACTGATTGAACCACCGTTGAATCCTGTCAAGGCTACAGAAAACTCGACACAAGGCAACCAGCTTTAAGTCAAAAACGAAAAGGAATGTGCTCATCAATTACTTCCAGACTTTCATGAAAACCCAGACAGGATTCCATTAATTTAAGATACTAAATTCTGTGAATAAGAAATCCAATTGATTCCAGATTAAAAAATATAAACAATCTAACTAATCTTTTAAATCGAGATGCTAGTGGTATAAATAATGAGGAAATATTTTCTGCAGCCTGATGAACAAATTTTACAATTTACCTCCCAAAATTAAGGAGTAGGAGGAGGAGCAGAATTTAATGAGAAAATGGATTTTAATTTATAACACAAGATATCCAGGCACGAATCATAAGCTAGTGAGACAGCGAAGTTCTCCTGTTCGCCAATACTAAATTAAATGTCAAACACATGATGAACTACCCCGGTGACATGACTGTCCGACTTGACAGTAAAATCAATGGGCAACAAGATAACGACGATAGCTGTAGCTGTTCCATGTCCAAGTCACGCACTTTAAATTAATTGAAATTAAAATATTCTCTCTTTTCACACTAAGACGGCCGAACATCAAAAGCGCGAAAGCTACTTTTTAGCGTAAACTTCGGGTGGCCCTAAAGGAAGAATACAAAAATTTCTTGGCTTTCTCTGTTGCAAGTAAAAAATGCTGAGTCCTGAAAGTGAGACAAGGTCATGGAGTAAACCTTCAAATGGTCCGCCGATAATAATCCAGGTCTTACCTTTCTGAAAGAATGTTGAGGAAGAAGGATAGTTCTTTGACGAGTTAGGATAAGTCCACGTTGAAATGTTTGCAGCCCCATTAAGACAGCAGGTAATAAGGAGAAGGAGAAGTGGTAAAGGAGGATAAATCCGAAATCGATACAGCATTGCACTACCACTACATTCCAGTTTTAACTATATCCTGGTCAGCATTTCAATGTTCTGATAGAGTGAATGAGACGACAAACAGTAGAATTTATCCGAAGAATGCCAAGGTTACAAGAGAGCGAGAGAGAAGGAGATGGATGGATGGATGGATGGGAAGATAGTATATGCGTGTTTGTTCCTAAGGCAACAGTCACCAGGTTGTAGAAGTCCACATTAAGCCTATGTGGCTGGCTAGATATTTTAGCTGACTGCCTATGCTTTCCTATAAGCAAGCCGCTTCACAGTCCAGTTTGTGTGCGCGCAGAGGGCGCGTAATTTTCGCGTGTCAACTGCAAGTGCGTGCGTTTTACCCTTGACGCGCGATCGATACGAGCATTCAAGCATTGGACGCGTAGTCGTTTTCGTACACGACGAAGTATATTCACATTCGTGCGCGCGTGCACTTACACTGACGAATGCTGGAGTGTGTGCGAACGTACTTCCCATCGGCCGGCCAATGGGAGCGCGAATGTGGACGTTACCCTGATTGGTAGAATGGTTTAGGCGCTTTATACGAGATTTTGTGGCTATAATTTCGCTTCCACTCACAGTTTATCAATCTTGCGAAGTGGAAAACTACGTACTGAAGGTTCAGAAATAATTGGAGAGAGATGTACATTTGCCTTCAATTAAATTTGATTTATCATTGATTTAATATAACCATATGGATTTAGGAAAATCTAATTTTTTGAATTTGTAATCTTAATTATGGTTAGAAAATGATAATAATTAGCCAGGGTGGTGGTTGTTCATCACCAAGATGGCAATCGTAAAAGTGAAGAAAGTGCGCTTTGCCCTACTGTTGTTGAGGGTGTTGGCCTATTGCAGCAATTTGGCTTAAGCCATAAATTTAGCTGCTTTGCTGAACGTTTCTCCCTCTCTCCCGCTCTACCCATTGGCGAAGGCTTAGTTCTTCAATTCATGTGATCTTTTCGAGAATTTAGTCACAGCATTATGGGAAATACGTAGAAGGCATATAAAAGAAGTTGGTAGGAAATATAATTTTGCCAGCTCGGAAGTACCTGCGGATCAGACGTATAATTTGCTTCGAAACTAATGGTCTTGCATGATTAACGATAGAAATTCAATTTGGATTAAAATCTATTTTAACTAAGCGTGCAAGTTGACCACAGCAGAGGTAATGTGTTCACGATCCTCTCTTGGGTATTGAAACAACCAACCTTTCGGTTAATGAATTGAATTGATTAAGTAGGCTACAGACTGGCACTTCTGTTCGTAGTATTCGTGAGCTAAGCATACTCATTCGTTAGCTTCGAGATTACCAAATAATGAAATTAATATCCGAATGGGAAGTTGCCTCCCCAAAACGTATAATATATTGCAAATAACATGCTTAGAATTGGTGGAGCGAACCTGACACCAGTTATTTATGATCTAACCAGGTTCAACGCCACAAGAGCTACATTGAACTTCTCCTTTCCTTCTCATCTCCGCCCAGACACTTGTATCCCATTGCAGTTTGCTCCATTTCTCATTCAAACTCCTATTCCACCAAGGACGCTTGTAATATCATGTTAGTTTTGGATGAAAGGAAGCCTAGTAATATTCTTTTCATTCTGAGTTGGTGGCATCTGGTAAATGGTTATATTTATTTATTGCAAATGGCAGGCGTTATGATAGGTATCATTAGCCCTTTAGTTGACTTCGGGCTTCACAGAAAGGAAGATGAACATCAGAGTGGCAAAAAGTCGAGAGGGGGACAGAACAATGTTTCACAGATGTAAAAGAGATAGACAGACAGACACAAAGGTAGAGAAAAGGTAAGGTAAGATGAGTACTGTGGAAGTATTCGAATATGACATACAGTGGGGTGATGGTAGTTTGAAGTCAGAAGTCAACTGCC